GACGCGAGGTGGTCCTCCTGGACGCGAGGTGGTCCTCCTGGGGAGATGTTCTGGGCATGTACCGCCAGGAGGAAACCTGGATGAGTTGGAGGAAGTGTGTGTGGGCGTCTCTGCATAGAGAGCTGCTCCGCGACTCGCGACCAGCGTTAACCTAAGGCCCCCCCTGCGCCGTTGCAGTGGAGTCTGACACAGGCTTGTGACAATACTGTTGATTTCAGCTTCCAAATGATGAGAAAAGTTGTGTAGATATAAGAAAGTTGTAGAGCCTTTTATTTCATGTTAATACACGTAACTTTCATCTGAATTGGGCGGATGGCTGATGGGCATTTGATCAAAAGGTTTAGTTCACATCAATACAGTGTCATCGTGTGGCTCAGTCTCAATCCCTGAATTGAGAATTGGCTACATTCATTTGCAGGACAGTTATTTTCTCTTCTGCATCACTTGGTAACTATAGCTTTTGCAGCATAGTGCAATACTTTAGGATGGGCAATTATTTTGACATTTGGGATATTGTGCTCTTGAGCAGGGCTGGACCTGTTTTCACAGTTACCATTTATTCTACTTGGCAAAACACCATATTTTTTCCAATATTTATCATGAATTGTGAGGACCTTGCAAATCAGAAGTGAACATAGTGACAACAGACAAAAAAAAAGGCCTCTCTGGTGTAATGTGCTTACAGTAATGGTGCGTTTATGATATGCATTATAATGATGTGCGCGAACGCTGAGAAGAAGGCCTCTCAGTCTGATCCCAGCGCTCTTTATAGTCCTGTTCTTCACACACTCTCCTTTTGTGAATATATGATCAGAGGCACGACAGCCCGGTCTTTAATCTTACACTGGCCTTGAAGAATGTCACTGATTCCAGCAGCCTGCCTCTCCTCTCTGCCCCCACCACCACTGCAGCCACACTGCTGCCCGGGTGCATATGCTTTATGAGCTGGGAGAGAAAACATGAAATATTGCTCAAGATTGCCTACATTCAGTCAGAAGCAAGCAACTTTGAATACAGCAACTGAAACACTGTTCATTGTTGTGAGTTCTTTGTGCTTTGACAATGAGAATGTTCTCCGGGAAGATTGTAAAAAGTGCAAAATCATATGGGATTTGTAAGATTATAAAGAGCAAAGAGGCTGGCACAATTGTGCCATAATTCAGTGCATTCACAATAAATATGGGTCTGAAGTAATGTTTATTTACATAGCGTATTTTACAGACCAAGGTCACCCAAAGCGCTTTACAATGTTCAGAGTTCAGATATTGTTCCAATTATTCCACACACGGTGATGACGGAAGCGAGTCGCCGAACACACTGGCGCATCAGCCCCCAATCAACACCATCCATTCACTCTCTCATTTACATTCATATTGTGCAAGTTTTTAGTGGTAGGGGAAACCGGAGCACCCGGAGGAAACCTACGCAGACACGGAGAGAACATGCAAACTCCACTCAGAAAGGCCCTGTTACGACCAGGATTCGAACCCAGGACCCTCTACAATATTTCTTCCATCCATCCATCCATTTTCTTCCGCTTTATCCGTTGCCGGGTCGCGGGGGCAGCAGTCTAAGCAGAGACGCCCAGACTTCCCTATCCACACACACCTCCTCCAGCTCGTCCGGGGGGACCCCAAGGCGTTCCCAGGCCAGCTGAGAGACATAGTCTCTCCAGCGTGTCCTGGGTCTTCCCCGGGGCCTCCTCCCGGTGGGACGTGCCCGGAACACCTCCCCAGGAAGACAATATTTCTTGTAATGGTTTTTCAGTGTTGTTTTAATACTGTGATACCTGGCCCATAGTAAATGGGGACAAAAAACATACTTTGAAAACAAAATTTAAAAAATTTAAAATCCCATGTATAGTGCAGACCTCCACCAAGAGGGGAAGTTCCAAATCTTAAAAAAACTTTGGTTTTAACTATCCATCTTCAAAAACGAATATCCTTTTTTATTAGGTTTTCTGTCCAGAGAATGTGATCATAACGTTTCCTCTTATGTTGCAGACAGGCAGACAGACTACAAAAAGGTAGATAGTGTTCTTCTCCACTGGTTCTCGGGTGGAACGTGTCACCAACATAAAAAAAACCAACCTGCGACCCAAATAAAAAACTGAATTTAAATAATGTGAAATACAAAATAAAAACAAAAGTTTCATAAGCATTGAATACTACTAACCTAACATAATGAACACCAAACATACTCTGGAATAAGTAAATATGAAAGGGAAAATGGATCGAAATGGATCTTTGGCAGACACATGACCGATACTCACCCGGGTGCCACATTGGTGGGATGGCAGGTAAAACTGTCAAACAACAATCCCCATTTGAGTTCATCATTCGGTGCATTATCAGCTACAGATTGAGAGAAACTCAATAATGATGCCATGCAGCAACTGTTATTTGCACAATAGTAGCGTGATGCACAACCACCCTCCAAGGTAACATAACATTTCAAAACAAATATGTTTGAGTTCTCTTCACTTCAAAATAAGGTAGATACTGTCATCATAATATTTCAATAATCATGCAATTAAAAAAAGGGCTGTCAAAATTATTGCGTTAATTCACGTTAATTACCGTTTTCATTAACGCGTAAAAAAATAATTAACGCATGTCCGAATGACCCGCCCATTTATAATAATATCACTCAGAATGCCGCGGACACGTGCGTGTGTGTGATGGTGACAGCGGTAACGTGGTCATATAATACACGTATATATATACGCACAGGGGCCATTCTCTGATGTTGTGTGACACACGGAGGAGAGGAGGAGACACGCTGAAATGCAACCAACTCGCAAAATTAAAGCTGGGGTACCTACATTTTCCCTTTCATTAACAGCTCTTGTTGGTTGTACCCAAAAGTAGAAGGTTGTGAGCAAGTCAAACAGATTTAAGTACATTTGGTATGAATAACAATGTGTCATTACATTTGAAAATCTCATTTAACTTCAATTGGAGTGGATTTGAAATAGAATGTTGAAAATGCGATTAATCGTGAGTTAACTCACCATTACTATGCAATTAATCAACTAAAAAAAAGTAATCGTTTGACAGCCTTAATTAAAAGATTATATAAAGACGTTGCTTGGTCTTACCACAGCATCGTACACATTTCCTTTTATACTAAGTTCTGGATTTGCTGGATTGAGCTCCTTTTGCAGATGTAAATGATTGGATATGAGTTTGCTGGATGTTTACCTACAACACCCGCCTCCCCTCGCTGATTGGTCGGATGGGATACAACCAAGGTAACTGCAGCCACAGAGACCAGACCCAGATGTACATGTAGGGAAATAATATTTGACAGGAGTTTACAGATGGCTAAGGCCAGGCTAATAAATACTAGTGTTGTCCAACGATTAAAATATGTAATCGTTATTAATCGCATTAATGTCATAGTTTTAATACAACTACTATTGATAGCTACTTTTAGAATGTATTTGCTTTTTTCTATGGATGGATGTGTTTCTGCTGCTACTGGACACCTGCATTTCTCCTATGGGGATTAATAGTGTTTTTCTATCTATAGTTAACTTGTGAATAATCCCATTTTTTTCATTGTTCCAAATGTCCCTTTATTTGGTTTGAAAAGGGTTTGGATGAAGCAAAAATTGGTGGCACATTAGTCTCAGTGGCAGAAATAGGCGTGACTACGTCCCTTAATATTTCCAGTCTATGAGCACAACACACGCTGACGCACAGTGAGTCAAGGCGCTCGTCAGCACAAAATATAAACCATGCGTCCGTGTGAATTTACAGTCTTTGAAGTGTATGCACACCGCGACCTGCAATCTTACTTTGTTTTGTTTCCGTTCTAGTTATACTTACATTTAGTAATTATATGTGGTTTTTCTAACTTTTCTGTTGTTGCAACTGACGCATGTGAAACAACTACAAAGTGCGCTCAGCCAACAGACGGCACTAATGAAAACGTTTATGGACACACAACTTCTACTTTCTAGATTTCAAGACTTTAACAAGGAAAGTATTGAACCCATCTAACAATGAGCCTGAGACCCACTTTGGGGTCCACCAGTTGAGAACCACTAATCCAGTCATCCATCTACTGTATAACTTTCCGCAGACATATCACTTTTGCACAGGTGAATAATACTTGCTCGTCGGCATAGTAACACACATGGTTCATTGAGTCTTTTATAAGAATTGGTGAAAATAGGAGTTGGAGTTCTAAATGTCATTCATTCATTCAGCTCAGATGTCAGAGTGACCTTCTCTCCCATTGTAAGGTGCAAAATATCACACATGATAAGAAAAAGAATCGAACAGGAAAGCAAATGTGGACAGTGATTTTGAATGCGTATATTTACTGTATATGGCTTCAATGAGCGACTGATTGATTATTCAGTCTTGATTATATTTGGTAGAGACGAACATGTTGCCATATGCTTTTACTGTAAGTGGCACTAACAATAGGGACGGAAACCCATTAGGATGAAAAAAGCAATTTATATCAATGCAATTTCTCTGAGCTGAATCTGAGCTGAGCATTCACCATGACAACAGCTCTTAATACCCCAAACATTACCAATCCATTTGTGGAGAAGTAGCTTAATGCACATCAAATAATAATCGTCTGCTGATGGTGTTGTTGCCTGTTGTGTCATCATGTCGTGTGTACCTCAGGGGAAGACCAGAATGTGCTTTTTGTCGTAAGGAAAATGTGCAATTTAGTGGTAATTACCTTTAAAAAAAATGGAAAAAGGGATTAATTTGGGAATGAGAATGCATTTGTTTGTGTCTGCGCTTACGCAAATAGAAAATAAAAGTCTCCAGAGAAGGGCAAGAATTCAATGGGTTTAAAAATGTAACTCATTGCTGAATGTTAAGTTATGTCAAATAGATCAATAACTCCCAATGTTAATAGTACTACAAGCATCAGTCAAAAATACTTATTTTTGGTCAGGATTATTGTAATTTGACATTCTTTGATAGTAACGTGGAACAGAACAATCACCCCAATTGTGAACTTTGCACTCACCCATATCTTTTTACTTTGAAACTGCACAAGTACTTTTGTGCAGCTGTGATACTGTGAACTTTTTGATGCTGAGCTCTTATTATTGTCCTGTTGTTGTCCTGATGTTGTCCTGATGTTGTCCTGATGTTGTCCTGTTTTTGTCCTGTTTTTGTCCTGTTGTTGTCCTGATGTTGTCCTGATGTTGTCCTGATGTTGTCCTGTTGTTGTCCTGATGTTGTCCTGTTGTTGTCCTGATGTTGTCCTGATGTTGTCCTGTTGTTGTCCTGATGTTGTCCTGATGTTGTCCTGTTGTTGTCCTGATGTTGTCCTGTTGTTGTCCTGTTGTTTTCCTGATGTTGTCCTGATGTTGTCCTGTTGTTGTCCTGATGTTGTCCTGATGTTGTCCTGTTGTTGTCCTGTTGTTGTACTGATGTTGTACTGATTTTGTCCTGATGTTGTCCTGTTGTTGTCCTGATGTTGTCCTGTTGTTGTCCTGTTGTTGTACTGATGTTGTCCTGTTGTTGTCCTGTTGTTGTCCTGATGTTGTCCTGTTGTTGTCCTGTTGTTGTACTGATGTTGTCCTGATGTTGTCCTGTTGTTGTCCTGTTGTTGTCCTGATGTTGTCCTGATGTTGTCCTGTTGTTGTCCTGTTGTTGTCCTGATGTTGTCCTGATGTTGTCCTGTTGTTGTCCTGATGTTGTCCTGATGTTGTCCTGTTGTTGTCCTGTTGTTGTACTGATGTTGTACTGATGTTGTCCTGATGTTGTCCTGTTGTTGTCCTGATGTTGTCCTGTTGTTGTCCTGATGTTGTCCTGATGTTGTCCTGTTGTTGTCCTGATGTTGTCCTGATGTTGTCCTGTTGTTGTCCTGTTGTTGTCCTGATGTTGTCCTGGTGTTGTCCTGATGTTGTCCTGTTGTTGTCCTGATGTTGTCCTGTTGTTGTCCTGTTGTTGTACTGATGTTGTCCTGATGTTGTCCTGTTGTTGTCCTGTTGTTGTCCTGATGTTGTCCTGATGTTGTCCTGTTGTTGTCCTGATGTTGTCCTGATGTTGTCCTGATGTTGTCCTGTTGTTGTCCTGTTGTTGTACTGATGTTGTACTGATGTTGTCCTGATGTTGTCCTGATGTTGTCCTGATGTTGTCCTGATGTTGTCCTGATGTTGTCCTGTTGTTGTCCTGTTGTTGTACTGATGTTGTACTGATGTTGTCCTGATGTTGTCCTGATGTTGTTCTACTGATGTTGTACTGATGTTGTCCTGATGTTGTCCTGATGTTGTCCTGTTGTTGTCCTGATGTTGTCCTGATGTTGTCCTGTTGTTGTCCTGATGTTGTCCCTGATGTTGTTCTACTGATGTTGTACTGTTGTTGTCCTGATGTTGTCCTGATGTTGTCCTGTTGTTGTCCTGCTGTTGTACTGATGTTGTCCTGATGTTGTCCTGTTGTTGTCCTGTTGTTGTCCTGATGTTGTCCTGATGTTGTCCTGTTGTTGTCCTGATGTTGTCCTGATGTTGTCCTGTTGTTGTCCTGATGTTGTACTGATGTTGTCCTGATGTTGTCCTGATGTTGTCCTGATGTTTTCCTGATGTTGTCCTGTTGTTGTACTGATGTTGTACTGATGTTGTCCTGATGTTGTCCTGATGTTGTTCTACTGATGTTGTACTGATGTTGTCCTGATGTTGTCCTGATGTTGTCCTGTTGTTGTCCTGATGTTGTCCTGATGTTGTCCTGTTGTTGTCCTGATGTTGTCCTGATGTTGTCCTGATGTTGTTCTACTGATGTTGTACTGATGTTGTCCTTATGTTGTCCTGATGTTGTCCTGTTGTTGTCCTGATGTTGTCCTGTTGTTGTCCTGTTGTTGTACTGATGTTGTACTGATATTGTCCTGATGTTGTCCTGTTGTTGTCCTGATGTTGTCCTGATGTTGTCCTGTTGTTGTCCTGATGTTGTCCTGTTGTTGTCCTGTTGTTGTACTGATGTTGTACTGATGTTGTCCTGATGTTGTCCTTTTGTTGTCCTGATGTTGTCCTGTTGTTGTCCTGATGTTGTCCTGATGTTGTCCTGTTGTTGTCCTGTTGTTGTCCTGTTGTTGTCCTGATGTTGTCCTGTTGTTGTCCTGATGTTGTCCTGATGTTGTCCTGTTGTTGTCCTGATGTTGTCCTGATTTTGTCCTGTTGTTGTCCTGATGTTGTCCTGTTGTTGTACTGATGTTGTCCTGATGTTGTCCTGATGTTGTTCTACTGATGTTGTACTGATGTTGTCCTGATGTTGTCCTGATGTTGTCCTGTTGTTGTCCTGATGTTGTCCTGTTGTTGTCCTGTTGTTGTACTGATGTTGTACTGATGTTGTCCTGATGTTGTCCTGTTGTTGTCCTGTTGTTGTCCTGATGTTGTCCTGATGTTGTCCTGTTGTTGTCCTGATGTTGTCCTGATGTTGTCCTGATGTTGTCCTGTTGTTGTCCTGATGTTGTGCTGTTGTTGTCCTGTTGTTGTCCTGATCTGTCCTGATGTTGTCCTGTTGTTGTCCTGATGTTGTCCTGTTGTTGTCCTGATGTTGTACTGATGTTGTTCTGATGTTATACTGTTGTACTGCCCTCGCCATATTCAAAAGTATAGTTTGGTGTGCCACAAGGATCGGTACTTTAGGTTCTTTAGGCAGCATCATAAAAAGTATGATATTTAATAGTTACCTACGAATAGGTGCGTAGTCCCTTAGCGGACTTCGCTAGTGGGATATCACGTGACCCCCAGGTCACAGACGCCAGAGAGATCAAACAAAAAATGCTCCAATCACTAGCGACCCTCCTCTATAAAGGCCCCTGCTCCATAGCCGCGCCCCCTCTTGAACTCTGCCAAGCCGGGCTGGCCTGATGGGCTCGTAGCTAAGGGACCACGCACCTATTCGTAGAACTTAAGTTACATTAGGTAACTATTAATTCTACGTCATGGTGCTACGTCCCTTAGCGGACTTCGCTAGTGGGACACAACGCGGAGGCCGTAGGAACATGTACTCCCAGCAGGCCAGCGAAGAGTGATTGGAGCTCCGCCCGAGCAAGACCCTCACACAGTGAGAGGACTCAGGGCAGAAGAAGCAATTGCGTGTTACAGGGCCACTCCTCCCAAGGACACCCCCAAGTAACACAGACCGAAGGCCACCCGTAGTCCCAGGACGCCACTCCCAAGAGCTCCTGAACCAGGGCGGAAAGTCAACCGTCGGCCCCTAAGAGGGGAACATAAAGGTTTCAACACAGTCCGCTGCACTAAGCACGGAATGGGCCACCGACCGGTCCGACACATCCAAAAGGTAAGACCGGACGAAAGAAGAGGACGACGTCCAAGAAGCCGCACGGCACACATCCTCGACCGAAGCCCCCCTGAGGAGGGCCGTAGAGGCCGCCACCCCACGCGTGGAATGCGACCTGAAGCCCACCGGGGGGGCCAGACCCTGAGCCTGATACGCCCGCCGCACAGCCGTGGCGACCCAGTGCGCCAGCCGCTGAGCCGACAGCGGGGCGCCCCTGTCCTTGGGGCCCAGACACACAAACAGCTGATCAACCAACCTGAATGAAGATGTCATGGCCAGGTAATGCCTAAGCATTCTGACAGGACACAGAAGGTGCCGCCGCTCCTCCTCGGGGGAGGCATGCGGCGGCAGATGGAAGGCCCTAATCCTGATCACTCTCGACCTGAAGGCCGACGTGATGACCTTAGGGAGAAAAGCCGGATTGGGCCACAACTCCACCATGCCGTCGCCCTCTCCAAAGGACAGGCAAGATGCATGGACGGAGAGCGCACACAAGTCGCCCGCCCTCTTAGCAGACGCCAACGCCAGCAAGGTCACCTCCGCCACCGGTTCAAAAGGCGGGCCCGACAGAACCCTAAGGACCACCCTGAGGTCCCAAACCGGGGGCGTTCTCTGAAGCGGGGGCCTCCTCCTGCGTGCCCCCCGCAGAAAACGTTTGACCAACGGATGAGAGCGGGCTGTGAACCCCCCGAAACCGTTGTGACCCGAGGTAATGGCTGCCGCGAACACCGCCAGGGTGGCGACAGCCCTCCCTTTGTCAAACAGTTCCTGCAGGAATCCCAGGACTCCCTCCAACGGGAAACGCCTGGGATCCCAGGAGTGAGAACTGCACCAGTCGCTGAAGAGCCTCCATCTTGTGGCGTAGTCCCTCACAGTGGACGGCGCCCTCGCCCCCTGAATAGTCTCCACCACCGCCGGGGGAAGACCCAGGTCTACGAGGTTCCGCCTCTCAGCCTCCAAACCCAAAGCCTTCGGCCAATTATCGGGCGTGAAAACAGGCCCCCCCCCCCCTGGACTACAGCCCCCGGGAGGGCCCAGGGCTCCATCACCGCCATGCCCCTCAGGAAGGGGAACCACCAGGCATGTGGACTGTCCGGAGCCACCAGGATCACCGACCTCCCCTCCTGCTCGATCCTCCGCAGCAGGACCGGCAGGAGACGAACTGGCGGAAATGCATACAGTAGGCACTGTGCGTTCTCTGCACTGGCGAAAAGGTCGACCACTGGACGACCGAATCTCCGCCAGACCTCCGCAGCTATCCGTGGGGCCAGGCCCCACTCGTCCTGGGGCCCCCCCTGGACATCCTGTCGGCCCCCACGTCCCGGGTGCCCGGAACGTGGCGCGCCCTCAGGGACAGGAGGTGAAGCGCCGCCCACAGCAGCGTCACCGTCGCCATGCGATGGAGGACGGGGGATCTGGTGCCCCCCTGCCTGTTCAGATAAGACACCACCGTGGTGTTGTCTGAGCGAACCATCACGTGTCTCCCCTGCAGCTGAGGAGCAAAGTGCAGCAGTACCCTGTGTACTGCCTCCATCTCCAGAAGGTTGATGTGGCGGGCTGAGTCCGACCAGCAGCCTCCTACAGAGCTCTGGCCGAGGACCCCGCCCCAACCCTCCAGTGACGCGTCCGTGAACACCTCCACGTGAGACACGGCGCAGGCCAGAGTCACTCCGTCCCGCAATAGACCCGGAGTGAGCCTGAACCTGATGTCCGATGCTGCCCTTTGGGGAACCCAGATCAGACTCCCCCCGTCCCGGGAGGGGTGAAGCCTGAGGCGTGAGAACCATCTCTGAAAATTCCTCATGTGGAGTAGGCCTAGCCGCACCACAGCATGAGCCGCCGCCATCATCCCCAGCAGGGACCTGAGGCGCCGAGCGGGGACCCTGGGGCCCGCCAGAACCTCCCTGGCTAGACGGGTAATCTTCCTCCGTCTGTCCTCGGACAATGCAGCACCAAACGTCACAGAGTCTAGCTGCAGGCCGAGATAGATCATGCGCTGAGCCGGTTGCAGCCTGCTCTTCTCCCTGTTCACCACAAAGCCCAGACGCTGTATGTGGGAAAGGACCCAGTGCGTGTGACTCACGGCCACTTCCCTGGATGAGGCCAGTATTAACCAGTCGTCTATATAGGTTAATATCCTTACCCCCGCCCGTCTGAGCGGCTCCAGTGCCGCCTCCACGCACTTTGAGAAGGTCCGAGGCGCGAGCGCGTAGCCGAAGGGGAGACGGCAGTACTCATAACGCCTCTCTCCCACTGCGAAGCGCAGGAATTTCCTGTGTTCCGGAACTATCGGCACGTGAAAGTAAGCGTCTGTCAGGTCTATGGAGGACATCCAATCTCCCTGCCTGACACACTCGAAGAGCTGTTTTGTGGACAGCATCCGAAACTGCCGCTTGGAAATGCACTCGTTCAAAGTGCGCAGATCCGGAATGGGACGCACCCCTCCTGACTTCTTTGGCACTAAGAAGTAAGGGGAGTAGAGCCCCCTGGCGGCGTCCTGTGGGTCCACCTCTACTGCTGCGCCTCGACTTAGCAGAGAGGAGACCTCCGCTTGTAGTGCCACTAGCGATCCCCGTACCTGAGAGCATGCTGCCCTCACGCCCCGGAACGGCGGTGGCTTTCGGGAGAATTGCAGTGCGTAACCCCTGGGCAATGTCTTCTCCAGCCACGGATCCGCCAGTAAGCCCTGCTCCCTCCAGATGCTGTAGAAGTCTGTGAGGGGCGGAACGGGAGCTGGAACACGAGACGTCACAGCCCCGCCCTCTCCTGGTGTTCCTAGCAGGGAGGGGGGGTGGACAAAAGGGCAGGGGGGCCCCCTGCGTCATACCGTGTGCGCCGGGGGCGGTCACGTGTCCTGCAGGCCCGACGTCATAAGTACGGGCCTGGTCATGCCATGTGACTCGACTGCTCCGCCCCCTCCTGGCTCTTGCCTCATAGTGGGGGGGGCGAGCCCCTGTAGTTGGAAACCCCGGGCTAACACGTGTTCGGCCGAAGCACACACACCACTACTCACCAGATCCCTCCGCCTGACCGCTCTCTGGGAGGGCATAGCATGGATCAGAGAACCGGAGCTCGTAGCTCGCGTAGCGCACTGCACACCCTGCTCTGGGGGCTGCAGGCCTAGCGGAGCAACGTTATGGCCCCGGGAAGTAACACAATCAGACACATTAGACATGTTACTGTACGTACCCCCAAATGAGACTCAGACAACGAGTACTGATGAAATGCCGGTCGGCCTTTATTGAAAGAAATCTTACCACCCCGGCCTCCTCTGCCATAGGGAGGCCGGCGGTGGGTGCGTTGTTCCCGCGAGCCTCCCGTGGGTCTGTCTGGACCCGGTGGCCTCCTCGAGGGGGGACGATGGATGACGAAGCGAGGATACGGGTCAGGATGCCTCCTGGGCGAATGCTCTCTGCCTCTGTCCCGGCTCCGTGATGGCTGGTGGGCCTCGCGCCTCGGTGCTAGGTGCGGGGCTAGCCTAGCCGAGTCTTTAGCTGCAGACTCCAGTCTCTCCACCAGGGCCTGCATATCCGGGCCGAAGAGGGACGTCTGGGAGATGGGTAGGTCCAGCAGCTGTCTCTTCTCCGCCTCCCTGATGTTAGCCAGCCCAAGCCAAAGGTGCCTGGCCCCGACTTGGGCTGCAGCCATGGAGCGGCCACCATCCACGGCCAACGCCTGGCACATGCGCAGGATCGCCGCGGAGGTGGTCCTAGCCTCTGACAGGAGGTCTCCACTGAGCGCCTGGCCAGAGGAGAGCGACCTATCCAGGGCCCCCGTGATGAACGCCATATTGTTAGCCAATGCGACGACCTGAGCCGCATTGGCATAACACCTGTCCAGCATCGCCAAAGACATCCTGTCCCGCTCGGAGGGAAAGAGTGGTCTGGCGCCGGGCCACACGGATGCAGAGGGCTGCAGGGCCATGCGGACTGAGTCCTCTTTGTCCGGGACACCACCGGTCCAGGACCAGTCCTGCACGCTGCAGTACATGCCGTACCCCAGAGCAGGCCTCTTGGCTGCTAGGGGCTTTGGCCACTCACGTGTCGCGTAATGGAGGATCGGGTCCATCCGCGGGCACAACGTGGGTTGTTTCCTCCTCCTCCCTCGAGTGGTGGCCCCCACCGAGGTGAAGTCCTCCACCGTCTGGACCGGCTGCGGTGGTAGAGGAGCATCCATGATGGCCGCTGCGGAGGAGTAGAGACCAGGCATGTGGTCCAGCGGAAAGCGGTCCGGCTCCGGGTTCGACACCACCTCGTCCAGCGTGAGGAGAGCGCCGTCCTCCGAAGCCTCTCCAACCT